TGGCAGTGGAGAGGTTGTTCATGGTAGTGGCAGTGGAGAGGTTGTTCATGGTAGTGGCAGTGGAGAGGTTGTTCATGGTAGTGGCAGTGGAGAGGTTGTTCATGGTAGTGGCAGTGGAGAGGTTGTTCATGGTAGTGGCAGTGGAGAGGTTGTTCATGGTAGTGGCAGCGGAGAGATTGTTCATGGTAGTGGCATTTGAGAGGTTGTTCATGGTAGTGGCAGTGGAGAGATTGTTCATGGTAGTGACAGTGGAGAGGTTGTTCATGGTAGTGGTAGTGGAGAGGTTGTTCATGGTAGTGGTAGTGGAGAGGTTGTTCATGGTAGTAGCAGTGGAGAGGTTGTTCATGGTAGTGGCAGTGGAGAGGTTGTTCATGGTAGTGGTAGTGGAGAGGTTGTTCATGGTAGTGGTAGTGGAGAGTTTGGTTCATGGTAGTAGCAGTGGAGAGGTTGTTCATGGTAGTGGCAGTGGAGAGGTTGTTCATGGTAGTGACAGTGGAGAGGTTGTTCACAGTAGTGGCAGTGGAGAGGTTGTTCATGGTAGTGGCAGTGGAGAGGTTGTTCATGGTAGTGGCAGTGGAGAGGTTGCTAATGGTAGTGGCAGTGGAGAGGTTGCTCATGGTAATGGCAGTGGAGAGGTTGTTCATGGTAGTGGCAGTGGAGAGGTTGTTCATGGTAGTGGCAGTGGAGAGGTTATTCATGGTAGTGGCAGTGGAGAGGTTGTTCATGGTAGTGGCAATGGAGAGATTGTTCATGGTAGTGGCAATGGAGGGGTTTTTCATGGTAGTGGCAGTGGAGAGATTGTTCATGGTAGTGGCAGTAAAGAGGTTGTTCATGGTAGTGGCAGTGGAGAGGTTGTTCATGGTAGTGGCAGTGGAGAAGTTGTTCATGGTAGTGGCAGTGGAGAGGTTGTTCATGGCAGTGGCAGTGGAGAGGTTGTTCATGGTAGTGGCAGTGGAGAGGTTGTTCATGGTAGAGACAGTGGAGAGGTTGTTCATGATAGTGGCAGTGGAGAGGTTGTTCATGGTAATGGCAGTGTAGAGGCTGTTCATGGTAGTGGCAGGGGAGATGTTGTTCATGGTAGTGGCAGTGGAGAGGTTGTTCATGGTATGGCAGTGGAGAGGTTGTTCATGGTAGTGGCAGTGGAGAGGTTGTTCATGGTAGTGGCAGTGGAGAGGTTGTTCATGGTAGTGGCAGTGGAGAGGTTGTTCATGGTAGTGGCAGTGGAGAGGTTGTTCATGGTAGTGGCAATGAGAGGTTGTTCATGGTAATGGCAGTGGAGAGATTGTTCATGGTATGTGGCAGGGGAGAGGTTGTTCATGGTAGTGGCAGTGGAGAGGTTGTTCATGGTAGTGGCAGTGGAGAGGTTGTTCATGGTAGTGGCAGTGGAGAGGTTGTTCATGGTAGTGGCAGTGGAGAGGTTGTTCATGGTTTTGGGCCCAGTTTAGAGGTTGTTCATTGTAGTGGCAGTGGAGAGGTTGTTCATGGTAGTGGCAGTGGAGAGGTTGTTCATTGTAGTGGCAGTGGAGAGGTTGTTCATGGTAGTGGCAGTGGAGAGGTTGTTCATGGTAGTGGCAGTGGAGAGATTGTTCATGGTAGTGGCAATGGAGAGGTTGTTCAGGGTTTAGTGGCAGTGAAGAGGTTGTTCATGGTAGTGGCAGTGGAGAGGTTGTTCATGGTAGTGACAGTGGAGAGGTTGTTCATGGTTGTGGCAGTGGAGAGGTTGTTCATGGTAGTGGCAGGTGAGAGGTTGTTCTTGGTAGTGGCAGTGGAGAGGTTGTTCATGGTAGTGGCAGGTGAGAGGTTGTTCATGGTAGTGGCAGTGGAGAGGTTGTTCATGGTAGGGGCCCAGGTGAGAGTTTGTTTCATGGTAGTGGCAGTGGAGAGGTTGTTCAGGGTAGTGGCAGTGGAGAGGTAGTTCATGGTAGTGGCAGTGGAGAGGTTGTTCATGGTAGTGGCAGGTGAGAGGTTGTTCATGGTAGTGGCAGGTGAGAGGTTGTTCATGGTAGTGGCAGTGGAGAGATTGTTCATGGTAGTGGCAGTGGAGAGGTTGTTCATGGTAGTGGCAGTGGAGAGGTTGTTCATGGTAGTGGCAGTGGAGAGGTTGTTCATGGTAGTGGCAGTGGAGAGGGTTGTTCATGGTAGTGGCAGTGGAGAGGTTGTTCATGGTAGTGGCAGTGGAGAGGTTTTTTCATGGTAGTGGCAGTGGAGAGGTTGTTCATGGTAGTGGCAGTGGAGAGGTTGTTCATGGTAGTGGCAGGTGAGAGGTTGTTCATGGTAGTGGCAGTGGAGAGGTTGTTCATGGTAGTGGCAGTGGAGAGGTTGTTCATGGTAGTGGCAGTGGAGAGGTTGTTCATGGTAGTGGCAGTGGAGAGGTTGTTCATGGTAGTGGCAGTGGAGAGGTTGTTCATGGTAGTGGCAGTGGAGAGGTTGTTCATGGTAGTGGCAGTGGAGAGGTTGTTCATGGTAGTGGCAGTGGAGAGGTTGTTCATGGTAGTGGCAGTGGAGAGGTTGTTCATGGTAGTGGCAGTGGAGAGGTTGTTCATGGTAGTGGCAGGTGAGAGGTTGTTCATGGTAGTGGCAGTGGAGAGGTTGTTCATGGTTAGTGGCAGTGGAGAGGTTGTTTCATGGTAGTGGCAGTGGAGAGGTTGTTCATGGTAGTGGCAGTGGAGAGGTTGTTCATGGTAGTGGCAGTGGAGAGGTTGTTCATGTAGTGGCAGTGGAGAGGTTGTTCATGGTAGTGGCAGTGGAGAGGTTGTTCATGGTAGTGGCAGTGGAGAGGTTGTTCATGGTAGTGGCAGTGGAGAGGTTGTTCATGGTAGTGGCAGTGGAGAGGTTGTTCATGGTAGTGGCAGTGGAGAGGTTGTTCATGGTAGTGGCAGTGGAGAGGTTGTTCATGGTAGTGGCAGTGGAGAGGTTGTTCATGGTAGTGGCAGTGGAGAGGTTGTTCATGGTAGTGGCAGTGGAGAGGTTGTTCATGGTAGTGGCAGTGGAGAGGTTGTTCATGGTAGTGGCAGTGGAGAGGTTTGATGGAAAAAGCAATGAAGGAAAGTGTTGCATTTACTCCCAGAGAACCGGAGAAGAGTCACTAGATGAGGCAGTGTGATGGTTAATGTTGGCAGGGCTAGTGTGGGGGTTAATGTTAGCAGGGGTAGTGTGAAGGTTAATGTTGGCAGGGGTAATGTGGAGGTTAATGTTGGTAGGGGTAACGTGGGGGTTAATGTTGGCATGGCTAGTGTGGAGGTTAATGTTAGCAGGGGTAGTGTGAAGGTTAATGTTGGCAGGGGTAATGTGGAGGTTAATGTTGGCAGGGGTAATGTGTGGGTTATTGTTGGCAGGGGTAGTGTGAAGGTTAATGTTGGCAGGGGTAGTGTGAAGTTTAATGTTGGCAGGGTAGTGTGAAGGTTAATGTTGGCAGGGGTAGTGTGGGGGTTAATGTTTGCTGTGGTAGTGTGATGGGCTAATCTTGGCAGGGGTAGTGAAGGGGTTAAATTTTTAAGGGGTAGTGTGGTGGTTAATGTTTGCAGGGGTAGTGTGGGGGTTAATGTTGGCAGGGGTTGTGTGGGGTTAATGTTGGCAGGGGTTGTGTGGGGGTTAATGTTGGCAGGTGTTGTGTGGGGGTTAATGTTTGCAGGGGTAGTGTGGGGGTTAATGTTGGCAGGGGTAGTGTGAGGGTTAATGTTGGCAGGGGTTGTGTGGGGGTTAATGTTGGCAGGGTTGTGTACGGGTTAATGTTTTCAGGGGTTGTGTGGGGGTTAATGTTTGCAGGGGTAGTGTGGGGGTTAATATTGGCAGTGGTAGTGTGAGGGCTAATATTGGCAGGGGTAGTGAAGGGGTTAAATTTTTAAGGGGTAGTGTGGGGGTTAATGTTGGTAGGGTCAGTGTGGGGGTTAATGTTGGTAAGGGTTGTGTGGGGGTTAATGTTGGAAGGGGTAATGAGTAGCAGAGAGAAGAGGTGGTGGACTCAACGGGTTGCTAATAATGACATTGAAGGAGAATTATGTTGCTAATAGTGATAGTAAAGGAGAACGTTGTTGCTGATAGTGATAGACAAGGAAAATGATGTGTTTATAGTGAGAGTGAATGGGAATGATGTAACTGATAGTGATAGTGAAAGAGTATGATGTGTTGATAGTGATAGTGAAGGAGAATTATGTTTCTGATAGTTATGGTTAAGGAGAATAGTGTTGTTGATAGTGACAGTGAAGGAGAATTATTGATGTTGCAGATAGTGATAGTGAATGAGAATAATGTTGATGATAGCGAGAATGAAGTAGAATGATGTTGCTGATAGTGATAGTGAAGGTGAATTACTTTGTTGCTAGTGATAGTGAAGAACAGTGATGTTGCTGATGATGATAGTGAAGGAAAATGATGTGTTGATAGTGATAGTGAAGGAGAATGATGTTCCTGATAGCGATAGTTAAGGAGAGTGATGCTGTTGGTAGTGACAGTGAAGGAGAATGATGTAAATAGTGATATTGAAGTAGAGTGATGTTGCTGATAGTGATGGTGAACGAGAATAATGCTGATAGTGATAGTGAAGTAGAGTGACGTTGCTGACAGTGATAATTAAGGAGAATGATGTTGTTGACAGTGACAGTGGAGAATGATGATGCAGATAGTGATAGTGAAGTAGAATGATATTGATGATAGTGACAGGGAAGTAGAATGATGTTGCTGACAGTGATAGTGAAGTAGAGTGATGTTGCTGATAGCGATAGTTAAGGAAAATGATGTTGACAGTGACAGTGAAGGAGAATGAAGATACAAATAGTGATGGTGAAATAGAGTGATGTTGCTGATAGTGATGCTGAAGTAGAGTGATGTTGCTGATGGTGATAAGAAAGGAGAATGATGTTGCTGATAGAGAAAGTGAAGGAGAATGTTGTTGCTTTTAGTGACAGTGAAGGAACACGATGTTGTTGGTCGTGAGAGTGGTGGAGAGTGATTTTTGTAGTGATAATGAAGGAAAATGATGTTACTGATAGTGATAGTGAATCATGACTTATCTCCTCTCACAGAAGATGCCGACCTTCCCGACAGTGGTTATGCGGTCCATGATGGTTTGGAAATGGTCTCGGGACCACCACCATCATCATGCCAACGACAGCGAGACATGCAGCGAGCGATCTGGATTCTGGCAAAAGCTGAGGGTGGGTCAGCCCTCCAGTCTTAATTACATACCTGGCTCTCTCTCTCCCACTTTCTAAATATAAATATATATATATATATATATATATATATATATATATATATATATTATATATATATATATATATATATATATATATATATATTATATATATATATATATATATATATTATATATATGCAATAAGATCACAGTAAACAGGTGATTTCAGAATATGCAAAACAACCACTCTGAAAGAATAGAGAAATTCTAAGCGCTTTCGTGACTACTCACATTATCAAGGAACTATAGTTCCTTGATAATGTGAGTAGTCACAAAAGCGCTTGGAATTTCTCTATTCTTTCAGAGTGGTTGTTTTGCATTATATATATATATATATATATATATATATATATATATATTATATATATATATATATATATATATATATATATATATATATATATATATATATATATATATATATATATATATATATATATATATATATATATATATATATATATATATTAAAATATAGGGAAGTACCTCCTCTATGGCTGGGATGGGGACCCTCATCCTCAGAGAAGACAATAAACGTACCTCAGGGAAAACTCAAGGTTCTCCCCGGAGCTGTTTGAAAATTTTCTTCTCCTACCACCCCCTATATTAGATATTCTATGTGAACATTTATTAATAAACAGAATACATTTACAGAAAAACATAAACATGAATACAATGGCACAATGTATCAAAGATCATGAATTTCCTCCAGCTCCTCCGAGGCTGGACGTGAGCCAAGTATGCAGCAAGCATTTCCCCTCTGGATGGCTACGCTGAGGCGCTGGAACATGAAAGTGGCTGCCCTTGGGTCCCTGGTGGTGTCGATGAGTCTGGAACCCAATTCTTTAAGGAAACGTGTGGCCTTTTTTCCCAATGATCCCAAGGTCTCTGATCCCACTGGGACAAATTGATACTGTTGTCTTATGTCCCTGTACTTGCTGATCTTGTACTCCTCCCTGTGGTCAGCAGTTCCTCCCTGTCGCTCCACACTGTGATGGATATAGGTGTCAGCCAGTGTGGACACACAGGCATAGTCCCATGCTAAGACCTTGCCATTCTTCCAAGGATAGATGGTGATCCCGTCGGGGCGGTTTGCTGGGTTGTGGGTATTGCTGGCTGCTAGTGATCGGGGCTCCCTCTCGGCTGGGCATCCAGCTGTAGCAAGGGTTCTCTTAATGATGTCATTGACCTCATTGTGTCTTGCATGCCAGCCCTTGGTTTTGGAACAGTTAAGACCATGTAGACCGTATTGGTCTGCTTGCGCTTCGCCGCAAATACACGTATATTCTGTATGAATTGGGGCAGCAAGGCGCAGAGCCACTGCAATACGGAGGGTCTTAGGGTCGAGTCGCGTTCCCATTGCCGATATGGGAACTGTTTGGAGGAAGTCCCCGGAGTGATGTGCACTCACAACCTGGAGATGGGCAATCTCCCTATCTGATGTTGCAGTCCTGAGCAGGTTGGCAAGCACCTTTTCAGCGATCGGGCCATATATATATATATATATATATATATATATATATATATATATATATATATATATATATATATATATATATATATATATATATATATATATATATATATATATATATATATATATATATATATTATTATATATATATATGCAATAAGATTGCATATATATATATATATATATATATTATATATATATATATATATATATATATATATATATATATATATATATGCAATAAGGTGATTTTAAAATATGCAAAATAACCACTGTGAAAGAGTAGCGAAATTTCAAGCACTTTCGTGACTACTCACATTGTCAAGGAACTAGTTCCTTGACAATGTGAGTAGTCACAAAAGCGCTTGGAATTTCACTACTCTTTCACAGTGGTTATTTTGCATAATTTAAAATCACCTTATTGCATATATATATATATATATATATATATATATATATATATATATATATATATATATATATATATATATATATATATATATATATATATATATATATATATATATATATATATATATATATATATATATATATATATGCAATCTTATTGCATATATATATATATATATATATATATATATATATATATATATATATATATATATATATATATATATATATAATATATATATATATATATATATATATATATATATATATATATATATATATGAAACTATTACTATTTTTCTTGTGACTGAGGCGACGACCTTGGCCGGTAGAAGTGGGTGTCAATATATTAATTTAGATAAACTTGACTGGTGAGAGGTTGCTAATGGATATTATGGTTTGTCTTCTTTGTTCGATGTTTTTCTTCGTATTCCTCATCTCTCTACTTTATTCTTTGTCTTTCTATTTGCTTATTTCCTCCCCTCCTTCTCCTTATCTCTTTTTTTTCTTCTCCTCCTTCCTTTTTTCTTTTCCCTTTCTTACTATATATATCCGAAAATAATAAGGAAGACAGAATGGACAAGAAAAGCATCATGGTGTTGTATATGCAGTGTGTCGACACACACAAAAGTTCGTCACCAGGACTGACACAACAATACCTTCATCACCTGGGTAAAACTCACTTCACCAGTGGTAAAGTAACTAAAAATTCACAGCATTACAGTTTGTACTGAAAGGAATACTTGATCAAATGAACAGTTATTTCCCGATTCTCAAGATGATATTGAGAGTTTTGTTTAATGGAATCTGGGGTAACAGTGGAAGTAATCAGATCATTTAAAGCAAGAAGTGGTGGGAGGTTCGAGCTTCCGTTCAGTAATAGCCGGGCAGATATGTTGTCTGTGTGTGTTTGCCACAATGACGGATCTGTTTGGATTTTTTCAGAAACTGTTGTGCAATGTGTTTGTATGTACACTTCCAACCCCATGGAATAGTTGGTAGAATGTAAAGTCGTAGTCAGCTATGAGCTGTCTTTCATGCAGTGCTCATCTGATTTGCAAATATTTCGCGTCATCGTAAACGAAACAACCTTTGTAAAGAGGGTGACGTGTGGTGTCTTGTTTACACAAGCTGACTTGATATGTTGTGCGAACATTTTGGTCAATTCATTCTTGAGAACAACGAAGGATCTTGCATGGCAATATGACTTAAGAGAGATACTGCTATTTGTGGCACTCACTGAAGTCATTCAGGACAGGACTCTCAGTGCGACTTCTTTGTAACTCAGTGCGACCTTTTGTGGCTCTCAGCGAGGTCGTTCATGACTCTCAGTGCGACCTTTTGTGACTTAGTGCCATGTTTTGTGACTCATCACAATGTATCCTTCTGTGGTGTACCTCAAGGTATACGCTATGTCCTGCCCAGTAACAAGAGTGAGACTGAATTATCTTCATCGATATGGCCTTCAGGAATGATATTTAAAATACCTTTGAAATAGACATTCTACATCAACGGACCTATTGCACTTGCTTGTAGAATGTAGGAAGAATTCAATGGCTTTCATTTAGTGTTTTATTAAGATATAAAACAAGAATAAGAAGTGCTGAAACAATTTGTTACTTTTATTGAATGTATATTAAGACCTAGAACAAAAACGGAATCATGATAATAAAACAAAGGTTTCACAATAAAACAATGGTTTCAAATAACACATTACTCTACTAGTAAAACAATGATTTCACAATAAAACAACGGTTTCAAATAAAACACTGGTCTACCAGAAAAATTCTGGTCTCACAGTGAAGCAATGATCTTAGTAAAAAAAAACGTCGGGAAAGCGCCACAGTTCGAAGAGCAAAACTACATTGACAATTCTCGTCAGGAGGTACAACTCAGCCAAAAATCCCTTGGGAAAGACACGAGAGAACACAAGGCACAGTACTGGGTCACCAGAGAAAGAGGCCAGAGTGCAAGGTCGCCAGGTCACAGGGGTGCCAGGAGGTCACAGGAGTACCAAGAGGTCACAAAGGTGCTAGGAGGTCTCTAGGGTACCAGGAGGTAACGAGGTGCCGGTAGGTCGCTGTCATATGTTCAGTCAAATACATCGAAACATGTTTTAGTGCGCTTACAAAAATGATAGTTGCTTCACGCAGTACCGTGTCGTACCTGTGAGCAACTTCAATATTCGTTCATCTGCACCTTTTTCTTGGATCATAAGAATCACAAGAATAATGTCAAGTGACAGTCATCCAAGGTCTTCGTCCATCAACATAACTTTGCAAAATTTATTAAATAAATTGGGCTTTCAGTTTCCAGGAAAAAAAAAAATTTGTGAATGCCTCTTCATATCGGCTTCAAACTCCGAGTGCTGGTGTGCCCTGCTATCTCTGGAGGTAGCACAATAACTACTGAGAGTTTCATAAACATTCAGTCAATTAGTTATCGTGATATAACCAGAAAACCAACCTTCCACCCCGCCTCCCCCCTTCCCTCTCCAAAATACACATTTTTGCCAATGAAAACTCTACGGCAATCGCCCACAAGGTTTCGGTAAGTGATTCCTTTCATATTTTTACTGCGTTTGACTTGATTGAGCTCTAGCCCCTGGGTCTTTTGCGGTTGTTAAACTACTACTTGCATCTGTGTGCAATCTGGATCAGTGGAGTAGAAGGTAATATGAAAGTGGTAATCATCGTAATCAAGAGATGAAGCAGCCTCTGTCTTCGGGGACTCAGCGGGATTTGATAGTGGTGCTGCAGGAGGACTGTCATGGAGGTACAAGGGATCGCCTCAGTGAGCCGTAAACCGTAAAGTATTCATGTCTCGGGACAGATTAAGAGAGCCTTCTCTCAAATTATTTTCTTGAGCCGCCTGCAGAAAATGGTCGGTTGCATACACGGCTTCAATGAAAGGCACCTCACCATTAAGCTACCTAAGATTCGATTAATTGAGAAGTATTCATGTCCGGGAAGAGGCCTCGAGAGCTTCCTACTCTCCGCATCTTTTCCAGGGACATTAACAGTAAAAGGTTATCGTGAAATGAGTTGTCTAGAAGTACTTCTCCATTAAGGCTC